AAGGTCCGTCTGGTCAAGGCTATGGTTTTTCCAGTGGTCATGTATGGATGTGAGAGTTGGACTATAAAGAAAGCTGAGTGCTGAAGAATTGATGCTTTTGAACTGTGATGTTGGAGAGACTCTTGAGAGTCCCTTGCACAGCAAGGAGATCCAATCAGTCCATCCTAAAGAAAATCAATCCTGAATATTCATTGGAAGGACTGATGTTGAAGCTGAAACTCCAGTACTTTGGCAAAGAACTGACTCACTGGAAAAGACGCAGATGCTGGGAAATATTGAAGGCAGGAGGAGACGGGGACAACAGAGAATGAGATGGTTGGGTGGCATCACCAACTCAATGGACATGAGTTTGAGTAGACTCTGGGAGCTGGTGATGGACTGGGAAGCCTGGCATGCTTCAGTCCATGGGATCACAAAGAGTCGGACATGACTGAGTGGCTGAACTGAACTGAACTGGACCAGAACCCACCAAGTTCCTCTGTCCATGAGACTCTCCAGGCAAGGATACAGGAGTGAGTTGCCATTTTCCTTCTCCAGGGAATCTTCTCCACCTAGGGATCCAACTGATGTCTCTTAGTCTCCTGCTTTGGGAGGTGTTTTTTGTTTGTTTGTTTAATTCTAGCACCGCCCCAGGAAGTCCTCATGATTAATCTACTATTCTATTAATTCAGCCTTGAAATTTGATATTCTACTTAATCTACTCCTTTCTGCTAATACTGTTTCCTACTCTAGTTCAGCTAACTGTCTTGATATATTTGAACTAATTTTGCTTCTATTATTCACTCAGAGAGAATGATCTTAAAATCTAAATCAAAGTATGTCCACTTGCTTCTAATAATCTCTCAGTGATTTCTGTCTCTGCTGCTGCTGTTTAATCACTAAGTTGAATCCGACTCTCTATGACCCAATGGACTTTAGCTCACCAAGCACCTCTGTCCACTGAATATTCCAGGCAAGAATACTGGAGTGGTTTGCCATTTCCTTCTTCAGGGTATCTTCCTGACCCAGGGATAGAACCTGGGTCTCCTGCATTGCAGGNAAATGAGTCAGTTCTTCGTATCAGGGGGCCAAAGTATTGGAGTTTCAGCTTCAGCATCAGTCCTTCCAGTGAACATTCAGGACTGATTTCCTTTAGGATGGACGGGTTGGATGTCCTTGCAGTCCAAGGGAATCTTGAGAGTCTTCTCCAACAACACAGTTCAAAAGCATCAATTCTTTGGCGCTCAGCTTTCTTTAGAGTCCAACTCTCGCATCCATACATGACCACTGGAAAAACCACAGCCTTGACTAGATGGACCTTCGTTGGCAAAGTAATGTCTCTGCTGTCTAGGTTGGTCATAACTTTTCATCCAAGGAGTAAGCATCTTTTAATTTCATGGCTGCACTCACCATCTGCAGTGATTTTGGAGCCCAAAAAATACAGTCTGACACTGTTTCCACTCTTTCTCCATCTATTTGCCATGAAGTGATGGGACTGGATGCCATGATCTTTGTTTTCTGAATGCTGAGTTTTAAGCCAACTTTTTCACTCTCCTCTTTCACTTTCATCCAGAGGCTCTTTAGTTCTTCTTCCCTTTCTGCCACAAGGGTGGTATCATCTGCATATCTGAGGTTATTGATATATCTCCCAGCAATCTTGATTCCAGCTTGTGCTTCATCCAGCCCAGCATTTCTTATGATGTACTCTGCATTTAAGTTAAATAAGCAGTGACAATATACAGCCTTGACTTACTCCTTTTCTATTTGGAACCAGTCTGTTGTTCCAGGTCCAGTTCTAACTGTTGCTTCCTGACCTGCATACAGATTTCTCAGGAGGCAGGTCAGGTGGTCTGGTATTCCCATCTCTTTCAGAATTTTCCACAGTTTATTGTGATCCACACAGTCAATGGCTTTGTCAGAATCAATAAAGCAGAAATAGTTGTTTTTCTGGAACTCTCTTGCTTTTTCGATGATCCAGCAAATGTTGGCAATTTGATCTCTGGTTCCTCTGCCTTTTCTAAAACCATTGACAACTTCTGATTATTTTATGTGTATGCTTCTTTATTTATGGTTTTTTTAGTCACCTATGCTATTATGGCAGGGATATTGGGGATACAATGTAATTTTTATTATGTAATATCTAAAACTTATAACTTTTATTTTTTCTTCTTCAGTTTAATCATTAGCATTGAGAATAATTCATTCTACATTTGATTGAAAACTTATCCTGACCTGATAATTTAAGCATCATTTAAGAAATATTTCTCATCTCTTAAACTGAATGTCTGTCCACACCTAAATTCCTTTGGATGACTGTGACTCATTCATCTCCTATTTGGGAAGTCTATTCCACACACAGCCCCTAAGAAACTACTTTACACACCTAAGGCAACCCTCTCTGGCAGATTTTCCAGTCAAATTCTCAGCTTCTCATGCATCCTCTTCTAACCACTTTTTACTTGCCACTCTGGATGATGGGGTGATATATTACCCTAATTATGGGACAAGAAGCAACAAATAGAGATTGAAGAGGATAAGCTTAATCTTGAAAGAGAAATTCCCACATTAGGTCATAATAAGGTCTTTGAGCTAAGGAAGTTTTGTTTTTGTAGGTTAGTTGCTAAGTCATGTGCGACTCTTTGCAACCCCATGGACTGAAGCCTGCGAGGTTACTCCATCCATGGTATTTCCCAGGCAAGAATACTGGAGTGGGTTGCCATTTCCTATGCCAAGGAAGTTTAATCTTCTCAAATATGGGAGGAAAATCTACATCTTCTGTCAGAAAAAGCTCAAAATTAATCAAGGGTTTCAGTGTCTCTGTCATCAGATCTACCCCAAATATTACCATTTCAAGCCTTCTCCACTGTTTCCCCTCACTCTTCCATGTACCTTTCACATGATAGCCTAGTCACAGGTGGGAATTCATCTTTCATAGTAATTCTTCCACCTGAAGAATTAGGGTGTGTATCTTATTGCTACCATGTTAAGTTCTGCAGTTATAAGAAATAGATTCTATTAGAGCCAGTGCAGGAACTCTCTGGTTCTGTTTCCATGAATTGAGATGGATGTCTTAGGGAAGTGAAAGCTCAGATTGCCTTTCTGGTTGATCTCACCAGTTCACTAAGATTATGGCTCTCTGTCTCAGTCTGGTTTAGAGTATCATGAACACTTCCCCAGTGGGTAGCAGGGCACAAGCTATTTGATCTGAATGCAACTCTTTCATTACATCTAACATGCTGTTCTAGGTTCTGTCTTGATGCACAGAGAAGGAAAGTTACAAGGAATACATTAAATGGATCTCTCCTCTTCATTATTGTCTCTTTCTCTTCCCTACCACTCCCTGGGCTGGAAAGTGCACAGGTTTTTATTATACTGTCCTCATATACTCAGACTATCAAAATATCTATTTAAATGTGAGAGAGTATCTTTTTTCTACTATAAGAGATTTCTCTGAGAGGTATATCTATTTGTTATTTTATCAAGAAATAATTGACATATAATATTAGTTTCAGGTGTACAACAGAATGATTCAATATCTGTCTACAGTATAAAATAACCACCACAACAAGTCTAATCGACATCCATCACCCCACACAGCTGTATATATATTTTCTTGTGATGAGAATTTTAAGATATACTCTCTCTGCAACTTTAAAACTTGTAACAGAGTAGTATTGACTACAGTTAACCATTATTTCTAGTCTCAGAAAACTTTTAGCTTTTCACCATTGAGTATGTTAGCTCTAGGCTTATCACATGTGGCCTTAATTTTACTGATGTATGTTCCTTCTCTATTCCCTTTGTTGAGAGTTCTTAATCATAAATCGGTGTTAAATTTTGTCAAATGATTTTTTCTGCACCTATTGAGATGATCATGTGATTTATATTCTTGATTTTGTTAATGTGATGTATCACATTGATTGATTTGCAGATGTTGAAACATTTATGCATCCCAGAATAAATCTCACTTGATTATAGCATATGATCCTTTTAGTGTGCTGTTGAATTTAGTTTGCCAGTATTTTGTTCAGGATTTTTGCACTGATGTTCACCAGAGATATTGACTTGCAGTTTTCATTTCTAATACTCTCCTTGTCTAGCTTTGTTGTCAGAATAAGGCAGGCTTCATAAGATGAGTTTGGAAGTATTCTCTAAACTTCTACTTTTTGGAAGAGTTTGAGAAATATTCATATTAATTCTTCTTTAAATGCTTGATGGAAAATCTATTCTTAATATTAGATATGCTATAAAAAGAAGATAAAGGGATTTTGAAATTTTCATCTTATCATAATTATATCTTATTTTAATTATACCTTGCCATAATGTCATAGGGCTTCCCTGGTGGCTCAGTCTGTAAAGAATCCACTTGCAATGTGGGAGACAGGAGTTTGTTTTATCATCATCTTTTATTCTACAGGATAATTCTACTTTTGAAAGTGAAAAGTTGAATATTGACCTATTTTTGTTTTCCATTTTTTGAAACAAATCTTACCTCTTCCTTCTAGCAGATGGTTGCCTGGTATAATCAAGAATAGGATTATACACTTGGGAAAGGAAAATGAAAAGGCCATATAAAACTATAAAAATATTTCCTCTGCCACATTGATATGTGTGGATACTTATAAAATGCATTGCCTACTTCATGACTAAATCTACCTTAAATAATCCTGTTTCTTTATAACATTTTTTAGGATCCAAAGTGTGAAATTCAGAAGTTATTAAAATTTCTAGATAAAGACCTTCCAGAAGAAACTGTGGATAAAATCCTCTATCATAGCTCCTTTGAGATGATGAAGCAAAATCCTAGTGCAAATTATACCACTATGCCAAAATTTAGTATGGACCATTCTGTGTCTCCCTTCATGAGAAAAGGTAGCTTTATATACATTATATATTAGCTTCTATACAGACCGATAGTAACATTATGGACATTGTATGTAGGCAGATAAGAGCAGTATCAAAGCAAATGGGAAGAGATTATGTTGGGGAGAAAATTTTATGAAAAAATTGTTAAAGGAAATAATTCATGGCAAAGAAATTTATTATTACTGTAAGTCTAACATGTAAGACAAGCTTTCCAATAAAAAATACTCAAGAGTCTATGCATTGATAAGTATGGATTTTGGCACTCAATGATATATCAGAAGAATGACTGTTGTTTGTCTGGATTATTTAGATAGTCTTCATATTCTCTAAAATTTTTGCTGTGGTTGGTAACTAGCTTAAAATGATGTTGGGAATACTAAATTAATGAAAAGTGAAAGTGAAGTCACTCAGTTGTGTCTGACTCTTTGCGACCCCATGGACTGTAGCCTACTAGGTTCTTTCATCCATGGGATTTTCAAGGCAAGAGTACTGGAGTGGGTTGCCATGAAAGAAAATCCAATTCCTTGAGATTGTTTCTATAATTATAATAAATCATTGCATACTCAGGTATTGAACTCAGTGTGTAGTTAACATTTTGCACAAAATCTTCCTTTACTGAATATATGTTGAGTTGAATTGTGTGTGTGTGTGTGTATGCTTGGATGGCATCACGCTGGGAATATCTGGATCTTGGCCAGGTATGATTTTCCCTCCCAGGGGATGTTTGACAGTATTTGAAGTCATTGCTGATGGTCATGACTAGGGGTTCGCTGTCGGCTTCCAATGTATAGAGGGTAAGGGTGCTAAAACATCCCACAATGCACAGGGCAACCACCACATCCTCCCCAGCAAAGAACTGGCTGGCTTGAAATGGCAACAGTGGAGATATACATAAATAAAATGTCAAAGTTAAGAAGTCCTAGGCCAGATTGACAGTTGTTTTGGCATGTTTTCTTCATTTTTTCTCTAAAACTGGGCTTCCAAGTGTGTCTTGTTAATTGCCCTATGAAAATGACATTATATCAGATATGCATTACAAATACTACTTCCTATTTCTTCCTTTAAGGTTTTAGATGTGATTAGTATTGGGAAGATTGAAAGCACAATACAATAATAATGAAATAGGCTTAATTACATTGGATATAGTAGTCTCTAAATCTTACTTGATCATAGAAACTTTTAAATAAATTATCATTTTACATTGGAAAAGATAGTTTTAAAATGACTGAAAAATTCTCTGGTCCTTTATTAACCAAGCTCTTGAAATCAAAGAGTAAAGATTTTGAGACATTGGATTTTTCTCTCAGTGACATTTCCTGAAGCTATTCAAGAAGTTATTTCTTTATATAAGATATTGGAAAAACCCATGGAGATTTTTGGAAAGCTAGGAAGGTCTAGGAGTCTGGGAGTGGGAGTAGGAGGTGAAAAACAGAGTTATGGAGTAGATATGGCAGTATAAAGTTAGAGGTCTAAAAATACAAGCTGGTAATTAAGCTTAAAATTGATATTAGACATTTTTGACATTAGTTTAAAATTTACCATCTCATCTTTCTTTTTAGGTGTTTCAGGAGACTGGAAAAATCAGTTCACTGTAGCCCAGTATGAAAGATTTGAAGAAGATTATGAAAAGAAAATGAAAGGGTCTACACTGCAATTTCATTCAGAGATCTAAGAAATACTAGCTCTTTTTCCAGTTGCTTTAGTTATGTGTAATGTTTCCCTATTTACTGAGATTAGTGTTTTGTAATAGAATATTCAAATAATTTCAGTTTGCATATGAAAGATCAACATTGTTTTATTATTTTAACTACCTTCTACAATGCTTTTATTATACTTTATTATTCTTAAAGATTAAATAATAAAATTAAGTCTAAAAATCTATAACTTTACTCTTTATTTTTAAATTCAAGGCCTGCATTGTTGGACTAGTAAGGAAGATATTTAAAGAAATCTTCAAGATGGATGGATTAGACCCAAAATATCCTCTTAAGAAGACATTATATTCTCTTTGTTGTATGCTTAGAATGGTATCAGCATAATAAAATATCAATGACAGTTTTGTGTATTTCCTTAGAGTGTTTACTGTATATTCAATTTTGAATAGTTTATTAATCATGGTCTTCTGCTCTTATACTTTATATGTTAATAATCTAAAACAGTACCAAGTAACCAATAAACATATATTACCAAAGTATGCAATAATAATAATTGATTCATTACTATCAGAGATAAAAATCAATAGTCATCATAGTATCAAGCTCATTAATATTTATTAACTACTTCCTATGTATAAATAGGACTTCCCTAGTGGCTTAAATGGTTAAGAATTCACCTGCAATGCGGGAGAGACCTGGGTTTGATCCCTGGGTCGGGAAGATCCCTTGGAGGAGGGCATGGCAACCCACTCCAGTATTCNGGGGGGGGGGGGGGGGGGGGGGGGGGTCACAAGAGTCAGATATTATTTAGCAACTAAACCACCACTACCAAATATAAAGTAATTTTTGACATGGTTCAAATGTCTACATGGACATTTTGGGAAGGACCAAGTATGCCCAAATTTAAAGGAACTTTTAGAATGGACCAAACGTCTAATAGAGATTTTAGACAAGACCAAATGTCTTGCAAGGGTAAGAAAACAAAAATCAGCCATAATACTAATAGCTAATGTTTATTGAGAACTTACTCTGTACTAAGTACTATGCTATATAATTTACATGACTTCACTTCAACCAATCTTCATTCAGTTCTTTAAAATAGGTATTCTAATTTTTCACGATTTTGCTAGTCAGTAAACTTCAGAGAGTAAATATGCAGCCAACCATACATGCCAAATATGCACTAAAAGCATTTAGAGGGGACAGCTTAATTTCTGATTATTTTATCTTTTAAGTCTCAGTTATTCACTCTTATCCTCATATTCACTCATGAACTTATCCTATATTCACCTTCCTTCATGCTCTCCAATTTCTGCTGTTGCATGTTATTCATGCCTCATGACTGTCAGATAATTTAGATGAGATTACAATTACAAACATAACTGAAAATCTTCTCTGATATGGAAATAACAGATGCACTCAAATTTTGTTCTTTCTAAACATTTGATATATAATCTGGCAGCCTCCAAATATTTCTAAACAATCACCATTGCAATAACATGCTTTAAGCATACTCCAATAATATATACAAATCTATTTCTTTGTAAATTATATATTTTTGTATAAATACATTATGTATGCTGTGAAGTGAACATATACATTAAAAAGAGATAAATATGGAATAAATAATCCAGAATATATCATTTTATTTATTAATTATACTAAGTACACTTACTGTTACTAAAATAGTTTTAGAATAATTTAGAATGAGGAACAATGTGATTGAAATGGCTTTATGATTTTTAAAAATTTTTTGTAAAACTTTTAAAATTTTTTTTAATTGATGGAAAATTGCTATATAAGGTTGTATTGGTTTCTTCTGTACAACAATGTGAGTCAGTCATAATTATATATATGTCTTCTCCCTCTCAAGTCTCCCTCCCTCCTCACTCCCATCCCACCCATCTAAGTCATCAAAGAGAGCCAGGCTGGGCTTACTCTGTTATATAGACACTTCCCACTAACTCTGTTTTACACATGATAGTGTATATATGCCAATGCAACAATTTTGATTTGAAAACATGGTTCTAAATTTAGATTACTTAAGTATTTTTCTTCAGTTATTGTAAAGGTGAAAAACATATGTTACTCAAACCATATGTTTAAATGGAAAAAAAAAGTGAATTTTTTCCTGTGTTTACCAAGTCACGTACTCAGTTTTCAATCTTATCTAACATTTAGGACGGGGAAGCCTGGTGTGCTGCAGTCCATGGGATCTCAAGAGTTGGACACAACTGAGCGACTGAGCAACAGCAACCATTTAGGAAAAGCATTTTGCCAGAATTTGGTAATAAATTTGTATCTTCATGCAGTATGAGGTGTCATTTATGTTGTATTTTTATAGGTCTTAACAAAGAAGTTCAAAAGCCATCAAAGGTCTTTGGAAAATTTTTAAATTAGTTAAAAAATTGTTTCCCAGATTTTTAAGTGTGTTGCTATGATTCCCCTAAATGATACATTTACATTATTTTCACTATTACAATCTTATAGCTATAAAGTATTTTCAAGGTGCCCTCTTGTTAGTTCATTTATGACATATTTCAGAAAGCAAGCCCTTATTTTCTCACTCATTGATAACATCAAATGTCTTTGAAATCACAATTGATGGTAACTTTTTGTCATAGAAAGTTAAAACCTTGAAAAGATAGCTTTAAAGAGAAAGGAAAGTGTAACATTTTTAAAGTTCTACATTCAGTTAGCTTGTTTTCCATGAGATGATGGAAAACCTTGGTGTGTTTAAAGAATTATTTTGTCTCCTTAGAAAGTAAAATTTGTTCTTATTTAAAGGCCTTGTCTTTATACAATTAATTATGTACAAGGCACCCTATTGTCTGCAAACTAGAATCCATTGCAGTGCACAGAGTAAAAAATAAAATAATTGTTATCTATGGCTAAAAATACTATGTTGTATATTTGAAAGTTGATTAGAGAGATCTTGCACTTTCTTATAACAAAAGAAGTGTAACCATGTGGTGATGGATGTTGACTAGATTTATTAAGGTTATCATTTCACAGTATTTACATATAGAATCCTTATATTGTGCATCTGAAACTAATGTATTGTTATATGTCAATTATACCTCAATTTTCAAAAAATTGAAAGTGCCACTTAATTCTTTTGTCTTCCTAGAATTTCTGTTTCCTCATAATTTGTTCACAATATTAAGTCAGATTTAAATCACTTCTGTCAAGATGCCCGGGTATAATGACACCTTTCCATCAGGCCTCCTTTCGTTATCTGCCTTCTGACCCACACCAGAGTACTCTGGTGATACAGAGCTAAAATATGCACTCCTCTTAAAAGATTAAAGTGCTTAGTTGCTCAGTCATGTCCAACTCTTTGTGACCCTATGAACTGTAGCCTGCCAGGCTCCTCTGTCCATAGGGGTTCTCCAGGCAAGAATACTGGAGTGGGTTGTCATGTCTTTCTCCAGGGTACCTTCCCAACCCCAGGGATCAAGCCCTGGTCTTCTGCATTGCAGGCAGATTCTTTGCCTTCTGAGTCATCTTGTGATACAGACAAGTATGAAAAAAATAGAAATTTGCTCAGAACTTTTGTTATAACCTTGACTGAAGGAATATTTTTTCCTCAATAGTTAGAAAGTGAAAGAAAGTGAGGTCTCTCAGTCGTGTTCCACTCTTTGCTACCCCATGGACTGTAGCCTGTCAGGTTCCTCCGTCCATGGGATTTTCCAGGCAAGAATACTGGGGTGGGTTGCTATTTCCTTCTCCAGAGGATTTTCCCGACCCAGGGATCAAACCTGGGATCTCCCACACTGCAGGCAGACGCTTTAACCTCTGAGCCACCAGGGAAGCCTTTTCAGTTATTGACTGTAGAACAGCAAATACAGGAAAATAACATCCTTTAACATCCTGTCAATCTTTTATTTATTATTTTTTTGTGCAATATAGTTTTATTAAAGTATAAAGGAGATAGAGAAAGCTTCTGACATAGACCTCAGAAGGAGGCAGAAAGAGTACCCCCTTGCTAATGTTAGCCATGGAGTTATATACTCTCCAATGAATCCAAAGAATGTCTGGAGGTTGTAAAGACCTCACCAGACCTACTCCCATAATTTACATTTTAAGATAACAGAGTTGACCAGAAGGTTTAACCCAAAGACTGTCCTCAGGCAGGATACATCCTTGTAAAGACCAGACCTACTCCCATAATTTATGTTTTAAGATAACAGAATTAGCCAGAGGGTTTAATCCAAAGACTGTCCTCAGGCAGGATACATTATCGTTATATAATTCTAAGGAATGTAGAGGGAAAAAAGTAAATAGTTTGTCCTTTCTTCCTCTTTGAATATTCCAGACCTCTCTCTCCTTGGGGACCCCTAAACTTCTTATCAACCTGCCTAGGAAATGACTCTCTCACTTCCCCCTTTTCTTTTATGAGAATTATGTTGCCAAGGGAAAGGGGCGTTGTTTTCATTCCATAACTACTTCCTGTTGTTTAGGGGTATAGTCCCTAAATTGTTGCGGCAACACACTCTCCTAACCCTCATATCGAGGGTCTCTGATCCAGGGGCCCCAAGTAATAGTTGTTGGAGGAGGCTGGACAACCATTTGAACTTGAAAGCCTTCATGTGACTAGAAACAAATCCAATTGCACAGTTACAGATGCAGGGAGCAAACAGCAAAAATAGAACACTCAGAATTATTGTAATTAAGATAGTCTTCCACTATGGGCAACTAGTTAACGTCTCCCAAAGTGAGGCAATTGAGGCTTCAGGAGTATCCATGGCCCCAATCATCTTGGTGACGTGTTTAGCAAAATGAGTAACATTAGTGCCCATATCAGGTATATAAGCACAGCATTGGGTATGAAGAATGGCACAAGTTCCTCCTTGCGCAGCTGTCAGAATATCTAAAGCTAGTCTGTTTTGTAAAACCACCTTTCTAATTTGAAAAAGGACGTCTAATATCCACTGCCCCTATAGCCTGGGAAAAAAACCGAGCCATCCCCAAAAGTTAGCCAACAACTTAATTATAGTGATTGGAAACACTTGGA